ACTTACCTCCCCGGAGGGACAGTAATTTTCTCAGTAGTTTCGACTCTCTGATCTCGCTGGGACCTCCAAATGTAAAATTGAAACCACAAAGGACAAGTCGAGCCCTCGAGTTGCAATAGCAAGAGGCTTTTATTTTACACAGGTACCTGTGGGCACAACTCCTGACAAAGGGAGAAGCGCGCCCCAGGTCTGGGGTTTGGGGTCTTTATAGGGCAGAAGCAGTTTACAGAAGCAGAAGCGTGGTTATTGGTTAGTTTAAACTATTACAAAATGCTGCAGGGAGAGCGGGGAGCTTACTTATCACTAAGCCAGATGTCTCAACCATAAAACTTATTTATCAGTGAGTTGGAGATGTCTCGGCCATGAAACTTACTTATCAGTAAGCCAGATGTCTCGGCCATAAAACTTGCTTATCGGCAAGCCAGATGTCTCGGCCATAAAACTTACTTATCAGTAAGTTGGAATTCTTGACTGGTATGCGACCTGCCTGAGAGACTTCATGGCTCCTGACTTTTATAATTTTTAATTTTTTTTTTTTCACACTGACTCTACTAAAAGTTTACAGGCAAGGCAGGAATTACAGTAGTTTTTAACTTGATAGAGAAGTTGTGGTCTACAGTGGTTATTGTTAAGTAAAAGACGTGAGTAGTGGAGCTAGCAGAAGAGTGGGGCCTGCCAGGCAGTTTTCATTCTATTCTTTTTTGTGTGCCTGTACAGCTTGAAGAGACTGGTGCCAGCTTTCGTAAGACTCAAAGTAGGATGCTTTAGACAGCAGACAGTTATGAGACTAAAAATACCTAGGAAAATCTCAAGAAGTAACCTAGTTCAGAAAAGCAATTCTGAACAAACGTGGAAGGGTTGAGGAGAGACATTTTAAATCTAGTTGAAGACAGGATGACTTTAGAACAGGGTAGATAAAAAGGCGGAGATCCCTACACCCTGTGGATTCGTACCCTTTTTTCTGAGGTCAGCTCCTGCTTTTGCAAGTGTATCTACTTTATGTGTGGGTATGCGCACATGAGTGCCGGTGCCCACAGAGGCCAGAAGAATGTCGGAACCTCTGGAGCTGGAGTTGCAGTTGTAAACAGTCGGACTTTGGTGCTGGGAACGGAACTCCGATCCTCTAAAAGTGCAACAAGCGCTCTTAACCTCTGAGCCAATTCTCCAGTCCCCCACGTATCTACTTTTGCTTTTTAATAAAGTTTGCTTGCTTGCTACAACTCCTTCGCGGTGAATTCACAACAGTGCAAGAACTGAAGAAAAATCTCCTGCAACATTACTGTGTTACTACATGACCTTCCACAAATTGGTCTCCAACCCCATATACAAATTTAGAGGATAATTTCGCATTGGACTGTAGTGGAGACTACTATTATGAAAGGTGTCCAGGCACTAGAGGATGTTCAATAAATGCTTTTTTTTCCTCCCAAGTAATTGAAATGGACACAGGCCTATCCCACAGGTGATCCAATAAAGCCAGGACGAAAGACCCTGACAATTTCAGCTGCAGCCACACTTGGGTGTGCAGAAACCTAGGATTTCGCCAACTGTTGCAAGGTCGTACTCTCCACACTACTCTGGACGTGGCACTAGATTGTGCAGAGGTCCGTAGCTACCTCCAGCACTCCAAATCCTCTGCTCTTCGATTTGGGACGCGGCGGTGATGTCACTTCCGCTCTCCTCTCAAGGACCACTCTAGGCTGCGGCCTCGTTGGCCAGCCGGAAGCTCGATGGTTGTGGGCGGAGCTATGACGTCCTTGGCTGGGCTTCTGGGGAGGCCGCGGCGGGGAAGATGGCGGACGGGAAGGCGGGAGAGGAGAAAGCTGAGAAGCCGCAGCGAGCCGGAGCCGCCGGAGGTGAACACAACCCCAGCGTCGCGGGCTGCGGGGGCTACTCTGGGCCTTCTCTGAGCTCCCTGGGGTGGGGGTGCTTGGGCACAGCCAGAGCGGGCGGACTTGGCGCGCGCCCTGCTAGGGGCCGGGCCCGCCAGAGCCCCGGGCACGCCCGGTGCGGCCCGCGGGGATCCAGGCCCACGTCGCCTAGTGGGAGAGGCCACCGTTGGTTACCTCCCGGCCTTGGAGGAGGCCCTCCTGAGGAGAAGGGAGACAGGTGCGGGTGGACCGGGCACCGTCGCCTCCACCCCGGAGACAACCAACGCAGACCTCAGGGCCCGCTGCGCACTCAGGCCCCGCGAGTCCGAGTCGCCGCCGCGGGCACTGGCCCAGGCTAGCTTTCCGAAGGCGCCGGCCTCTCGGTTACACGTAGTGGTTAATTACGCCTAGTGTTCTCTTTTCGCCCAGGAGGCCGACCCCAGCCTGGTCTTCCCTGTATTTTCAAACATAGATTCATAGACGCTGGTACGGGATACGTGGAGACAGTTCAGGGAGAGGAGTGTCCTTGATTCAAGCTGCAGAGGCTCCCTTTCTTTAAAGTATCTCTCTTACGCCCTTAACAGAGTCTATGCCAGATACTTACTAAGCAAGTGTGATCTCCCTGTATTTAGTTACGATATTAAACTCAGATTATAACTACCCGTATTCCCTTCGCTCTACCCTTATAATTTTTTAATTTTGTGCATTAAGGAAAAGAAACGTGTAGTCTCTCCACCCCATACTCTTTTGTCGTTAGGAGAATTAACAAGTGCGAGCTAATCATAATGTCTTTAGAACGTTTTACTAATCACTCTTCTGGCCTCCTGTCTTACCCCTAAAAACTTTTTAATGTGGGAATATATCGACTATTAATAGCACACGAAGGTAAATGGTAGGGTCTGCTAACCGTGTTCATTGTTGTGTCAACAGAAATTACTGAAAATATTAATGTGGTGTTACTCTGGACTCAAGAATTTGCTTCTTTGAAAACATGTGAAGTGCTTTTAGTTGAGATAGGATCTCATTTAGCCCGTTAGCCTGAGCCTCCTGCTTCCACTCCTTGAGTGCTGGAATTACAGGCTTACATCACCATGCCGGCTTTCTTCACTTTTTATAAACCAGGGGAATAGCTTATGAAGCAATCTTGCGTGCGTGTGTGTGTGTGTATATATTATTTTTTATGTGTATGAGTGTATTGCCTGCATGTAGGTAGGTGCACCTGTGTCATGCAGTGCCTGTGGAGGTCAGAAAAAAGTGTTGGATCCCCAGTTGTTAGCCACCGTGTGGGTGCGGGAATCGAACCGCTACAAGAGCAGCCAGTGCTCTTAACCGCTTAGCCATCTCTCCAGCCCCTGAAACAATCTTAAACATAGCACTTCCTTACTTTAAACCTCATCCATTATTGTCTTGGAAATTGTTAAGCAAAATTATGTAAAAATTTAGAGGTAATTTGAAGAAAAACAGCCACAGCCTAAGAATCTTAGGTGTCTTTGACTTTAAGATCCCCTTTAAATTTCTTGACTGGGAGTAGCAGAATTATGCTTAAGGTGCAATTATGCTTAAGGTGCTGGAGCCAAAATGTACCTTAAATGTCAACAGAAATCCACTGTGTAATGTACTTGCCACCCTTTTGGTATGAATAACGTTTCCATTCTAAAGTGTTTAGAAGGGGTTGTAGAAAATTACTTTGCTAATCAGTATCAAATGGACTTTGTTGGTACCTTAGATTAACAGATATCCTTTCATTTCTACATTATTTACCTCATTTCCTTTAGAAGAAAGTAGTGCTGTTGGCATATACTTTTTTGAGACAGGGTCTCCCTGTAGTCCCAACTGGCCTGGAACTCACTATGTAGACCAGGCTGGCCTTGAACTCATAGAGATCCACCTGCTTCTGCCTCCCAAGTGCTGGGATCAAAGGGGTGCGGCACCACACCCAGCCCATATAGACCATTTTCTAATGTCAGACCATTGCAATGAAATTGTGCAGCAGGATCTTAGCCAAAACATTTCATACCATAGATGTGACTAAATTGGTAAAGTTGTGGCAAGTATTCAGCTTGTTTGGAAAACATTTTAATGTCTTATAACTAAACCTAGAGACTTAGGAATTTTTGTTCTTGCACAGTCCTCTAACTTGAAAGTATAAATATTTTGCTTTATTGCACCTGGGCCTCATTTATTCTAAGAGTGCACTTAGCTGCTGCACTCTATTTTTAGTAAATGCAATACTTCGATAGTTAAAATTCACATGAATCTATGAGAGATGCTACTTACTTGAAGTACCTCTTTTCACTTCAAAGAGTAAGGCAAAGACTAGAGTAAGACTTTGGGTTGGTGAGTTAAATTTCTGTAGCCCTTTTGATGTAAGTAGACATTTAGAGAAGAACAACTGGATATATATATATTAT